ACGCGGAATTGCGCGAGAAAATTCGATCTAACGAATTTTTTTTTTTTGATGCATTATTTATGATCGCCAGTGTATAACAATAACAATAAACAATAAAATATATTTACTTTATCATTGCTCCAGCTCCCTAGATTCAATAACACAATATTAAATGTATTGCTTATAACTGCTTAAAAAATGAAAAGATGCATTCAGAAATATATACTGTACTGTACTTACCAATCCTGCCAGACCACGAGATAAGATCAACATAATCATACTCTAACCATGACAATTATACAATTATATATAAAATATTATATATATATTGATTTATGTAAACGTAAAAAATATATATACTACGTAAAGTAAAAGATGAATACATTACCTGGGCAGCACCACATAAAACTGATGCAATTATAAAAATTCCAATAGCAACTAAAAATGTAGGTTTCCTTTAAAAATTCAAAATTTAAATTAACGTATTAGAAAGGTTAAAAGGTTAAAAAGGCTTTTTTTTAAGATTTTAACCATTTTTTCAGTACCTTCCGAATATATCAGAAATTTTTCCAGAAATTGGTTGTGAAGTTGTCGAAGTTAATAAATAAGCAGTTCCAATCCATGTTATTTGATCTAATGAATTAAAATCTGATACGATATTTGGTAAACATGTTGCTACTATCATTTGATCCAATCCTGCTAAAAGCACGGCAAGTAACAATCTTTTTTTTATTCAAATTAACATTGAAAAATAAAATTAACAATGATTATCATAATACAATACAACAATACGTATCTAAGACATTATGATTAGTATTAACATACGCTAAGAACACGAGTATCAATTCTTTGACAGGTAATGAAGCAGACTTGTCATTTTCATTATTGCTATCCTTTGTATTTAATTCGGAATCTATGCTATCCAATGCCTTTTCATCTTTCTCTTCACGAGAATTAGAAATGGTTACTGCAACGGAATCCTGCGATTCAATCATTAGATACGAATTTTTCTTATTATATTATTGCTTAATTTTTTTGGAAATTTTTCATATATATAAATTATTTTATCTATATGAATAGAATAGCAAAAAAATTTTTTGCAGTTCCTGTACGTTCGTGCTTCATATTAACGCTCTTTATATGTGTAATTTGTATACCAATCTAAAGATAAAACAGGCACAGTGTTCGATACCATTAAAGTGAAAATTTTATTAGTACTTATTGTTATTTTAGTAATGAATTGTAATCTACTGTATATATGTAATCTAGAGAGTATTATCTATCAAAATGAGGTTCCGAAAGATTAATTCTTATACTTCAGTTTATCCCATTTATACAATAACAATAAATTATCTTGGCAAATCTAAAGTTTATGGTAACGGTAACGTTTGTACAAGTTGATTTACTGCATATTCTATAATTAGATGTTAGATTCCTTGAACGTCAAAACAAAAAAAAACTAAAATTCAATTTCTAATGATGTGACAAATTTTATTATTATTAATATTAAGTATTATTTCTTTAACATTATTGGATAATGTTATGCACTAATATTATTAATATTATTAATATTATCGTCATCTAGGTATTCCTTTAAAAAACCAATAAAGTGGTTTAAAACAAACATACAAAAAAATCCAATAAACACAATAAACAACGTTCTAAACCAAAAAACGCTTTCCTGGTTATTTTTAAAAATGAATTCACGATTTTTGTTACTCATGGTAATTCAATGTGTAACTACTAAATGAACCCAATAAAACTATCTTTTAGTTAATTCTATTACGTATAAAATAAAATTAGGGGGAATAATTATAAGGATTTACATAAAAACGGGAATTTGTTGATCAAAAAATAAGTATATTTATTTAATACTTCACTATGATCAGTTTATAAAATAAATCAATTATTTTATGGTATTTTTAAATGATAAAAT